AAAAAACAAATCACTACCTCCCCCCCCCCCCCTCGGCGTATGTTGTGATGGAAGAAACACACTCGCCTCCCGCCAGCCGGGCTTGGTCGTTGCTGGTGGCTGGTCCGGTACCTGCCAGTGCTCCATGCCGTGGGATAAACTAGTTCACCGGAAACGGAGGCACGCTACCGTCACGACCCGTTCTTTTTGCCTCGCCCAACCTCTGGCTCCCTTCGTGTCGTCCTTCCCTTCGACTGGCCGAGAAACGGTTTGAGAACGCGTGCAAAACTCCATCCAGCTGTCTGTCACCTTCTACACCCTGCTTCCTTGTGGCGCCAGCACTGTCGAGGAATGCCACGACCATGATTATTTCCCGGAGAATTTCGTTGTCCGTGCTGCGATCACGTCGTCGGTGTTTTCCGCGAAAGAACGCGGAAACCCGGGTTGATTTTTCAACAGAACTTCCCCCCCCCCCGCCCCAATGCTCCGAGAGCCATCACGGTTGGGTTTTCGTCGCTTGGTACCGACTTGAAAAGCACGCCGGTCTCTTCGTGAGCTCGACAACCAGGTTGCCGCTTTTTTTATTCGCGGGGGCCAACATGGTGGTCGAGTAAGTTATGTTGTGCGGGGTCGAGAACCCACACTCCGCGCAAAGGGGATGGTCACATCACGTTGCGTCAAAATTGGTCAAGCATCGAGGCACTTACACAGTTAATGTAACTATCTGGAAGTGGAAAAACAGAATAGAAGTTCGGCCATTACGCATCTGTCATTTTAGTATGAAAGGAAGTACGCACGAGATGCCGAAAGCCCTGAGCGGGGTGCAGCGCACCCTCCATGTGACTGGCCGAAAACCTCACGGCGCATCGCGCTTGATGATGTGAGAGGCTGATCCGGTGAGAACCCGGCGTGCTCCGCCCCGGCTTTGTAGGGATGCGAGGTCGATGGTCTAACGACCACGGCATGCGTTTACGCGAGTACACCTCTCCTTCGACACCTTTCGAGAAACGTTTCCCCCTAGCCGCCTCACACCACTCAGAGAGGACCCACACACCTCCGCACTCTCGGCTTCATTTGCTTTTGATACCACTTAGTCAAAGTCTATTTCCCCAAACGCGACCCGCAGTCCACAAGTAGTCAACAACCCCCCCCCCCCCCCCCCCCGGCCCCAGGGGCCCCGGGGTTCCGGGCAGGGGGGAAAATTCCCCC